TTTTCCATGGATAGGATGCGCAACGCACCAGCCAACACGTAAGTCTCCAACCCTGCGGCTTCCATTCATAGAATGAGAAAAATAGAATGGATCTTCACATTCGCAGCGTTCAGACCGTCACATAGGGGCCTAATGTAGGTGCTCGTAAGAGCAGACACGTGCATCAGGACAAACCATTAATACTGCATTATGATGGCTCCTTTTTATTGGTGGGGTGCTGCACCTGCTGGAAATAGGGTCCAGCATCCTCTTATAACCATTTGGACAGGCATCGAGTTTGGAAGTTATCCTCAAAACGAAATCATACTTAAGAAACAGGGCAAAACGAAATAAACCACATCATATTATGTGTTACAATCCTGGCAAATTTCGAGGTGCAAAATTCACGAGAAAGAACAATTCTGTCCTATTGCAAAAGAAATGAATGAACTTGTCAATGAGATGAGAGAGAGGTAAAGAAGAAGAAGGAGATGTACACCAACAAAAGACCGATGATAATTACTCTTTCTTCTCGCCATCCAAATCCTCGTCCTTATCTCCTCCCCTCTTATTCAAACAGTAATTAATAATAATAATGATGAATGGCTGAGCCAGAATCAAGTTCCCAATCCCTCTTCTACTGCCAGCACAACAAGTGGTCCACCATAGCCATGGCCGCCCTCGTCTCTCTTCTTCGTTTAGGCCAAGGCTATGGCGGACTACTAAGGGCCTTGCCCTGACGTGCAAAAGAGAACGCAAAGCAGCTATGGCTACTTCCTCTCCGGCCGCCATGCCTGACTCTGCCTCAAAGCTTCAGATCTACCCCAACGGGGGCCTTCGAGATGCAGCGCCCACCAAGGTGATGAAGACGGCGTCCACCATGGCCAGGTAAGTACTCCTGAAGCTCCCCTCCCCTAGTCCCCTTCTTCCTCCTCCTCCTACCCGAGCTCCTCCACCATAGCCAAGGTGGAGAACTGGGCGCTCCTCTTCCCCACAGCACTGCTTCCAACCAGCGGTCCAGCAGCGTGACGCCAAACTCGCAAGCAGCAAAATGCGGAAGAGCTCATTGCCTTCCCTGGAGATATAGAGGCCAACCTGCCTCTTGGGCGGTGACTTCCAGGCCGCATGGCCTCCGAGCAACTGGTACCTCCTCCCTTTCGGAGGAAACATCAAGACTCTGATATAGTCCGTACAGGCTGTAGACTCAGGCTACGTGGACTGGTACCCGCCTCAACCCAGCCTACCGCTACTGGGCCTCCAAAAATACCAACTTTTTGTCTTCTTCTGCTCTGCCTCCAGTTCCCAACACATCTGTTAACACTACTTCGAGTGGTACCTGCCGACCTCTACTTGAGTGCCTACGGGCCTACACTACTGTCACTCGGGTGTGCCCTAATCTACCCCTTCGGCCACTTGCGTGTTTTTCCCCGCTGCAACCCCAAAGTCACGGCCACACGTAAGTACCGGCCCCGTGGGGCCTCCCAAACAAACCCCAGACAGGCATGCAGACCGGCAAGCACGCAGACACACATTGACACAGACTTAGAAAACTCAGCAACAAGCGGGAATCTCAGCAAGGCATTCATTCCAGCGGCAGAACTCAGAAAATCAGCAGTGTTCCCAGTCCATGTTTTCGGAGGTCCTTAAGGCATTCATTCCAGCGGCAGAACTCAGAAAATCAGCAGTGTTCCCAGTCCGTGTTCTGGCAGGTCCCTAACAGTTGCATCAAAACAATCGGAAAACAGTGCACCAGACTACCAGTTCAGTGAGTGAATCATCAATTCAATCAAATTCAATTCTATATGTCTTATCGCTGTTCTTGTGTCCCCAAAAAAAGGGAACAGAAAAGCTTGTTATCGTGTTGCCATAAGGCCCAACGAACACATACTAATGCTCCGACTTGCGGCCACGAAGTGGGAGACTGAAGTTTGAGTGGGAAACGCAAAAAATGCCATGTATGTGTGGACATCCAGGGGGTCCGGCGTTTTAAGAAGGGTGGACCCTCAGGAGCCAAATATTTGGACCCGTTTTTGGCCAAATTACTCAGTTTCAATTTCGGTAAAAAAATATAAAAAGTCCGTTTTGACGAAATGGCAGTTCAAAAAAAATTGCAAAACAGATGAAAGAAGCATGCACAGACACAGAGTTGTCGTTTTTTTTCTGGGTCATTGTTATGCATCGTGATTGATTGGATTACCAGCGAAGTTCTGCATCAGCCACTGCTCAAAGGAAGACTCCGCTTCACTCTCATTTTTTTCAGGGAATATTATGTTTTGCGCTTTATTCTTCCTGATGGGAATGAGGGTGATCTATGCAGACTGGTGCGTGGTGCCGCCATCACGCCGGTGAGGCAAACCGGGGACGTACCAGGTCCGCAGTTCAAACCACAGGTGCGAAAGAGAGTACTATGAGCTATTTGATGAAAAGCATCTTTTTCACATGGTGACCTTGTGCGTTCGGTAAGTGCATTGAATAATATGCAGGTGGGTGGGGCATTTTATCTTGGCAATGCCCTCCAGTGAATATGTACATATGGGGGCCACAAAAAACTGGCGGAAGAGGGATTCAAAAAACATTTGAGGCCCTGACATGCAAATTATGACTCTGCTGTTCTAATCTACTATTAAACTTTCCTGCCTTGAAAACAGTCTTCTTGCATGACAATGTGCATTCTGCCATTCTGTGCTGCAGTGCTAGGAAGCATTCCTCGAGAACCTAGGTTGCTCCGGAACAGTTACTCCTTCACGATAAAGTCATCAGCAGAGTGTGGAGATTGAAGTTGCAGAGAGAACTGTGCAGTGCCACTTGGATTCTCTATCTGACGTATCCACTCTCAGTCTGGATCTTGGTCCTAGACTCCTAGTTTCAGTGTTGGTTTCAGATATTAAACGGACACGTTGGCAAGCTCGTCTTAGCACAAATGCCAAGCAGCCAGAAGTGGTGGTAACCTTTTGACTGCTCAAAACTGCAAGGGTTTGTTGATGTCCGTCTTTTTTGGGTACTTGACATACAGGTTCTCTCTTTTGACTTCAAAAAAAAAAAAAAAAAAACACTACCAGTACACGAATGGGCTGAGGGCGCCTTACTGTGCGCCAAGCTCTTCCGAGCCGCCAGCAGCGCTTTTTTTTTTTTTTTCCCCTTTTTTGGCTGGCACCACCAGGCATTGTGATTCCCTAGGCCGGGGCATTGCTACAGTGCGGTGGCGATGAGTGAGTTGGCTGTTTCTGCAAGGCTGGGGCGGTTCTACTGGCGGCTAAACTTTACTTAAAGCCCCTCGGAGTAGCGAAGTGACTGCGAGGGGACATATTCTCAAGACAAGAACTGGGCTATATACTTCGAATCAACGATCTCAGCGTCGGTGAGGCGGTCCACGGGCGGGTCAAGCGCGTCGGAGTTGCAACGTGTGTGCCAGTGGACACTGTCATCACTTTGAAGAAGTTCGAATCGACGATCTCTGAGTCAGCGTCAGTGGGAGCTGACAAGAGCCAAAGGGACCCAGAAAAAGGGAAGAAGGATCATGGCGGATAGCATGAGTTATGTTAGCATGGATAACAGTGACATGAGTGGGGTGAGTGGGGTGAGTGGGGTGAGCAACTCGCGCACACGACTTGACTTGACTGTCCTGTTTCACAAGGCCAGAGATGTTTCGAAGGGCCTCCATGGCGACGACAGTTTCCTGTACGTCGACGTGCACCCTCGTGAGCCATGGGTCATCTTCATAGAGCAGTGCAGATCGATCCAAGTGTGGGACTGTGCGCAGCAGACTATGATCACCAGCTGGAACATCGACGAACAACTGGGTCCTTGGGATGCGGTGAAGTTCCTTGAGCGCCATGGCGGTCTGTTCATCGTTCTGAGCAATCGAAACAGTATCCTGATGCGCAGGGTAAACACTTCCAACTTCGAATGGGACCTAATCAAGCAGTTTCAACCGCACAAGTGCTCCATGCACGACATGGTCATCCACCCCAACTCGTCGTACCTCATGACGTTTTCGGAGAAGAGCTCCAAGCTGTGGAATTGGAATGCGGGCTGGGCGGTGAAGAGCTTCAGAAGTCCGGCTGGAGCCAGAGTGACGGCTGTGGCTTTGCACCCGCATGACCGCAGAGTCGTATTTGCCAACGCCTATAGCGACAACAAAATCCGAGTGTGGAGCGCTGAGAACAAGTCTATTCTGTACACGGTCACCAGCGACCACCAGACCACGGTCCTGCAGTTCTACACCAAGCGCCAGAGCCCGCTTTTGATCGCTGGTACGAGCGAAGGCACGGTTGAGGTATGGGACTACGAGAAATCACGCCTGGCAGCGGAACTCACAGGGCTCGACCGCAGCGTCTGTGCCGTATTCGCACATCCCCGGTTGCCCTACATCTTCGCCGCCTCGGAGTTTGGAATGATTTGCGCTTGGGCGGAGTCAACCTACCAGCCGGTGATGGCCCACTCCAGTGTTTTGACCGAGATCTGTAGCATGGCTGCTTGCGAAAGCACCAGCTGTGATATGCTTGTGATTGGCGGGAGAAGGGAGTTTGCGCTGTTGGAGATTATTATAGAAACGCAACCCGATCTTTTGCCTAGATCACATATACCGGAATCGCTAGAGCAGTTGCTGCGGCAGGCGGTGACGAGAGAAGCACATGCACAGCAAATGCTGTCTGAAGCAATAGAGCTGCGGAACAAAATAATGAACAAGCAAGCGGACACGATTCGGCAGCTGGAGGGTGAGACATGTATGCTGGAGCGGAGGATAAGTCTGTTGGAGAACAGTAGCCAAGGAAGCCGGAAGCTGGATGCCGGTGACATCCCATGGCAGGTATATCCGGCCGAAAATCTACAGGTCGGCGGCCAGTCAAGAGTAGTAGCAGCAGACCACCAGAGCAACGGAGGCTTCGAATGCGGTCAGCTCCGTCAAGTTGTGCCTGTCCAAATGAAGAGGCTCGCCGTCCGCAATCTTTCGACCCTGTTGGACAAAGACCTGGTGGACAAGTTGACCTCCCTCAAGCACCCACACTTGCTGCGATTTTTGGGTGTTTGCAATGAGCAGAACTGTCTGATTTACGAGCCCATGGCGAATGGAAGCGTAAAGGACTGCGTTTCGCCGCAGGAAGGGTCCGGCGCAGCAGCAGCACGATTGCCATGGTTCGACCGGCTGCGGATTATGTCTGAGGTTGCTCAAGCTCTCTTCTTTCTGCACGCCGACACGTCGGCAACGGGTCGTCCCATCATTCATGGCTGCATCAACCCCTCCAACATCCTCTTGGACAAAGACTTTGTGTCTAAAATTAGCAGCATCGACAGCGTAATCACGCTCCGCCAACAGGCGGAGATCGGGCAAACGCCGGGAATCCGTTTGCCCCTCGGAACGAGCATCGAACACATTGCGCCGGAGTACTTCAGCAAACGCAAATGCGACGAGAAGACTGACGTTTTCGCTCTCGGAGTCACGTTCCTTGAGATGTTGACCGGAAGGCTAGGAAGTCAATCGGCAGGGTCGGCGAACGTGGCGGAAATGATGGAAGAGGTGGTGAACGACGACATGGCGTTTCGAAATGCGCTCGATCATCGTGCGGGTCTTTGGGATGTGGACCTGGCGCGGGAAGTGGCACGGCTTGCAATGAAGTGCGCAAGCATCGACAAACGTTGTCGGCCTGCTAGCGATGCCATTCTTGATGTGTTGAATGGGATAGCCGCTAGGGTGAGACCTGGCAACTCAGCGCTCGTCACAGCATGACAGCCGGACAGTCAACACAGAAGTCAAAAGAACGACGAAGCTCTGTTTTTTTTCTGTGCACTTGGACAAACATTCGCAAACATTGTCGGCCTGCTTCCGATGCCATTCTTGATGTAATGGGACGGCGAAGGGGATCATCATTGGTGGTAGCAGGTTGGCACCTGTGAACTCAGCGGGCGACGCAGCACAACAATGCATTGGGACCGTTGCAAGACAAGCCAAAAGAACGGATGCCACAGATCAAGAAATGGCCTGCCTTTTTCATGGAAATTTGCGCTTCAAAAACAGCTGCTAAGCTGTCTCGCCAGGGTAACCGTTGGGGCGTGTAAATCCTTGCACCTATTTATTTACTATTTACTACTACTAGTAGGTGTCTGTCGGAAAACGTTGGGACCACCAATGTCTGGTTGGAGGCACACTGAAGTGCTCCTTGCAGTTGGGGCGCAGGGAGATGGAGGCACAGCCACACAGGTGCTCTTTGCAGTTGGGCAGGCCCGGCAGGGCACTGCTTCATTTGGAGTCGAACTGAGGTCTGCATTTCCAGTTTCAGCAGTTTATATTAAGCGTGCCAACTGACCTACTTGGGCCATCGGTAGTCTTTGCAACTTGTCGGAAAACGTTGGGACCGCCAATGTGTGGTGGGACCGTGGGAGGGACCGGTGCTCTTTTCAGTTGGGCAGGGCACTAGTTCATCTGGATTCTGACTGAGGTCTGCATTTCCAGTTTCAACAGTTCATATTAAGTGTGCCAACTGAGATAGGGCCATGATCCGTAGTCTTTGCGACTATTTAATTTTGCTTGAGTGCTTAATATTGGAAAATGTTGGGAGTCTTGGGACCACCAATGTGTGGTGGGACCGTGGGAGGGACGGGTGCTCTTTTCAGTTGGGAAGGAGGACTAGTTCATCTGGACTCGACAGTTCATATCAAGTGTGCCAACTGAGCTGGTAGGGCCATCGGAAGTCCTTGCAACTACTTGCTTGCAATGGGTGTTTATGGGAAAACGTTGGGACAGTCAATGTGTGGTGGGACCGCGGGAGGGGTCCGGGTGCTCTTTTCAGTTGGGCAACGGATAGTAGTAGAATTGGGAAACGAACTGCAGTGATGGCTGACGACGCTAAGAGAGAGAGTCTCAGAGGCGTTGATGCATCACTAAACTCTTCACGGAATCTTCTAGCTGCAGCCTACAGGACATGAAGACCATGTACTATGCGCGTTGTGCATGCATATTATGTGCAGATGACATATTATGGTCATAAACGACTGCCCGGTGAACCGTAGGCAGAGAGGGAGAAGAGGACAGGCAAACAAGGCGGCTCTGAGAGACAGTTTCGTCGTACTTTCACGGATCTTTCACCGACTCGTCAGGATATGCATGGATGAATGTATACATATACCTACATGTATACTGTCGAATCATTTACTGTACAGCACAGAGGGGCAAAGAAAAAGAAGAAAAGGAGGGGGAGGGGAGAGGGGTTGGGGAGCTGGGGTGGAAGCATCGCGCCAACTTCTGCAGACTCAGTAGTCGGATAGGAGAAGGTCTGTGCATGGTTTTACGCCATGCGTTTGTCAATCGGGTTTTCGTCAGCAGTATTAAACCTCTGGCTGCATTGTTACTTTATTTTGCCTTAAATTATCTCCCTTTCTTCATCCGTACAGTAGTCTGCAAACGCCGAACTGCGGCTGCGAACGCCGAACTGCAGCTACGTCGGGCCACCGATGCTCAGACTGTGATTTAGATGTTGACGAGAGCACTAAATCAAGGTAGCACTGCAGTCTGCAGCAAATAACAGGTTCCAAGCACAGGCGCAATAGGCATCTGCGCACCCCCTTTATGATAACCCTTCATCCTGAAGGGGAGCGGGGGGCCATGTGGCATAATTATGATAACAATAACCCTCTTCATCCTTCAACTGATTTTTCTAGTTCAGTAAGACAGTCTGTGTGCAATATTTCTCTGTGACAGAGGTGTGCCTCTGTGTAAGGGTTGACGTGGCCCGGTCTGGAGCTGGATCTGGAGGTGGGGGCGGAGGGGGAGGAGCAGGGGGGGAGGGGGAGGGGGAGTAAGAGGGGGAGCAGTTTCTGTAAGTCTAATATTCGGATAGTGATCGCCCATGGTTAACAAGTAGATAGTGTGCATCAGACAGACAATGCATAGTCTTTGTATTAATAATTCTGTACACAGTCTGTGCCTCTGTGTGTCTACTAGTTTTTCCTTGTTTTCTCTTTTTAACTTGCACAATTATTTTATCGAGAGGAGCAGAGTGCAGTCCTCATCATGCAGGACTCCCATGTTGATGATGACCACGAACAGTGACAGAGATGACTCTCTCAGTACCTGTTGGTCGTACTTATGTGCATGTGATGATGATCATGAAAGCCCTCTGTTACCGACGCCATATTCACATGAGGACTTTCCTGGACTATGCACCTGGCCGCAATTACGTCCAGAGTGAGAGATAAGTTGAAAGGGTTATAGTCTGAGACTGTGAGTATATGCACTTGCGGGCAGTTGCTGCTGCCTCTTCTTCGAATATTCTTTCTTTCTTTCTGTGTCTGTCATCTGGCCAGCCGCCAGTGGTATTCCAGTCTCCTGAGTCCTAACTCTTCCTTTCTCCCTCCCTACTGTCTTCCCCCGAATAGAACGTACGGTCATTGTAGCCGTATTTGGACCAACTTGCAGTCCAGATGCAGCGCAAATGACCGTACGTTCTATTCGGGCGAAGACGGTAGGCTACCCTTTGTCTGCTTTYTTTGTYTCCTTTTTTKTTTYTTTTTTTTTTTTTTTTTTTTTTTTGTTTGCTTTCTTTGTCTCCTTGATCTTTTGTTATTGTCTTTTTGTCTGCGTGATTGTCTCTTCCAACTTGGTCATCCCTACTTGACAGCTTGCAAGTGTTTTGATATTGCTGACGGCAGTGACAGATGTGTGGGCACTTAACCCCACCGACATTGCTAACCATCCACAACAAAGGCACTGTGAGTCTGTGACTGGCTGTTGTTACGTGGGCGTCCTGGGGTGATCTGAGAGCGCTGGAAGGCGTTATGCCTATGGTGTATTTTTTTGGTTCCTCTCTCATATTTATGGTTCGCCATGGGAGCAAGTTTTTCTGTACACCATTGATATATCTTCGTCTTGCTCTCTGGTTTGTGCTCGCTTGCAGCATTTAATATTTGCTCTTCGGATCGGGTGTGCGTGACCGTCCGTTCTATATGGGTGTATCTCATAGTCTATCCTCAGCTAAGACTGATTTAGCTTGTCAGTCGTCAAACAAAACTGCTTTACGCAGAGAGGGAGAATCTGATGTGGACAACAAAAGAGGGACTGTGACAAACTGTTTCATCTGAGTTTCACCGACTGACTCATCAGGAGCTTGAACCCTCAACTTGAACAGTCTGCAGAATCCCTTAACTGATTACACTCCAAGTGACAATGCACCTTAACCCCGGTTGTGGTTAAGCATCGACTGCCCAACAACTGATACCCCTCTGACTCTCTGAGGTCGTGGGGACCAACCACTGCCCTCAAGATACCTGTGACGAAAATCGAAGTAGACTACTGTCGGTTCATATATACATATATATGTGAGAGGGAGGATTGAAAGAAGAAGAGACAGTGAGACACCATGCCAGTGAGGAGAAGAAAGAAAGAAAGAAAAAGAGACAAGAGAAAACGTGAAATGAACAGTTTCGATGCTGTCTCTTATACACATCTAGATGTGTATAAGAGACAGCCTCAAGATACCTGTGACGAAAATCGAAGTAGACTACTGTCGGTTCATATATACATATATATGTGAGAGGGAGGATTGAAAGAAGAAGAGACAGTGAGACACCATGCCAGTGAGGAGAAGAAAGAAAGAAAGAAAAAGAGACAAGAGAAAACGTGAAATGAACAGTTTCGATGTGTCTGGTCCTATCTTATCCCTAAACCTGTTGTGCATTCACCACATCCTAAGATGTTTTGGGAAAAGTTATTAAAACTCCCCGCGATGACACCTTTGTATTCATTCCCCCCCCCTACAGGGCAAAAAGTGTTGCAGGCCCCAAAATGGCTTTTTGTGCCGTTTTTGCACCCTGCCTGGGCCCGCCCGCTGTGCAAAATTGGCGGGAAAGTGTTTTACAGGGTGCAAAAGTGATGCCAAATTTAAAGTCATTTTGAGGCCTGCGGCAGTTTTTGCCCAGCTGGGAGGTAATGAATACAAAGGTTCCGTCGCGGGGAGGTTTTATAACTTAAACTTTTCCCTTTTCCCACAATTTTTCCTTCTTTTCGTTTTCAGAACAAGGCATTTAAAAGTCTAAAACTGACCCTGACACCGCTGACAGATCAAATACTTTTTGTGGGGGGGGGGCAATGACAGATGAAATACCACCACCATCCACTGACCCTAACCAGAAGTTCTATTCGAACCAAACACCAAGCTAACGGAGTACTATTCGAAAGGCCAACCAACACCTGCCTCAACCTTCCTGTCCTCAAGCCAGGAGTCTACTACCTTCTTCCCCCAAATACAAAGTACGGTCACTGAAAGATGCCCCAAATACAGTTATAATGACCGTACATTGTATTAGGAGGAAGAAGGTAGGCCTCACGCCCCCACCCTGCGAGGTTACAGAGAGGCTCAGCTTGGCTCCCCTTGACATTCTACCCTTGGCTATCTTGTGGTGTTATTTTTTTCGATATTCATTGTACTGTTGCGGGAGGCTGGACGGGTTTCCAGCAGGTGCAGTTCCCCACCAATATAATGGAGCATCTTGTTTGTTTGGGAAGCAAAAAAAAGCTTGGCTATGTTGTTTGGTTGGCTACGAAGTTTTTGATCTGGAAAGACAATATTGAGTCCCGGTTCGTTGTATGCAACTGGGAGACTCTCCTTGGTACCCAGGCATGGAATGGCCGTCCTCCCCGTGGCCTTCCCCTTTCTGATCTCCTCCTCTCCCCCCCCCCCCCCCCCCCCCCCCGCGCCCCCTCGCGCCCTCACCCCCCCTCACACACACCC